GTGGCCCGAGGGGATAAAGGGGCCTGGGGGGGCTGCAGCACCCGGCATGAGGGTCTGGGTCGTCCCTGGGGGCCGTTGGGGCTTGGTCTGAGGGGATGGGGTGCCCCCCAGGAGGGAGTTGGCCCAGGCATGAGGGGACAGGGTGGCCCCGGGGGCCATGGGGCTCTGGTGTGAGGACAAAGGGGCCCGGGTGGGCTGCAGCACCCCGGGTGTGAGGCTCTGGGTCGTCCCTGGGGATCGTTTGGGTTTGATGTGAGGGGATGAGGTGGCCCTGGTGGCGGACTGTGTCTGAGGGGACCCCGGTGTGTGGGGTCAGCGCTGCCCTGCTTGGGACGGTGCCCGTGGGTGATGGGGGGGGGTGTCTCTGAGGGGGACCCTGGGCTCCCCTAATTTGTGCAAGGGAGGCCCAATCGGCTCTGGTCCATCCTGGGAGTCCCCGCGGTGGGCTGCTCAGTATGTGCCCGCGGTAGTGGCTGACTGCAGTTGTGTTTCTCGCAGGCTCCAGTGTCATGTTTTACCTGGCAGCTGCCGTGTCGGATTTCTACATCCCTGCCTCCGAGATGCCTGAGCACAAGATCCAGTCCTCGGAGGGGCCCCTGCAGGTGAGGTACCCCTGGGCATGGCCCCCCTCGGCCGCCCCCTCCTCCCCTCCTGTCACCCTGACTGGCCCAGTGTCCTGATGGAGTCACCACTACTGGGGGACTGGCTGTGGAGGGAACCTGGGAAAGGCCGCAAAGTAACAATGGCCGAAAAAGCATGTCTTTTCTCTGGGAATGGGAGGCTGCGTTTCCGTGGTAGCAGAATGCCGTGGAAATATCCCTTTAAAGTTGTAGACGCTTCCGGCAGGGAGCTGAGCTGATGGTGGATCTCCGGTAGCTGAAGAACAGTTGCTACTGGAGTAGTCGCGTTGCCTTCTTCCTGCTTAACGCTGACAACAGCCCAAAAGCATAGTGCGCCTCTCATGCCCACATCCCTTTCAGCTATGGGAGCAGGTGGATCCAGAGCTCTGAATATACCAAATTTAGTTTAATTAGTTTTTAACAAGTTGCTGGGCTTAATTCCTTATCCCTAGCATGGGAAAAATGAGACCCTGTCCAATTCCCAGTGGCAGATCCAGAGGTTAAGAAGCTGGAGAATGAAGACTCCTACTTTGTTCCCCCACGCTTGGGCATGTTTATGCTTCGTGTGCCTTAAAGAGTTGCTAGAAAGAAGGATTAAGACTTGACAAGGTGTCTGGATTTTGGGGAGCTGAAACTTGGGGCTTCTGCAGTTGTAATTCTTCTTTTATCTTCCTCTGCTTATGTTTATATTCCTGGAGTGGGTTTTAGCTCTTAAATAACAAAATGTTTATGCAGTTACTGTGGGCCTGCTTAAGAACACCCTCCTTATTGTCAAGACCAGACCGATAATTTAATTTTACAGTGCGTGCCAGTGATATTTTAACCTTGTTTGGTGACTTCTGACCAAATACTGCCTTGGAAAACTTCCCAGTGTAAAAATTATGGGAAATGAAGCTGGAATTCCCCTACCCCCCCATCTCCTTCTCTTATTAAAATGCATTGTAATGTTTTTACTGAAACTTTTCTCTGCTGTCTTTCCCCAATATAGATCACAATGAAGATGGTGCCAAAAATGCTCTCTCCTCTTGTCAAAGAATGGGCCCCAGAGGCATTTGTTATTTCCTTTAAACTGGAGACGGATCCCTTGATCTTAATTGATAAATCACGGCAGGCTCTAGAGAAATATCGTCACCAGGTGGTGGTAGCAAATATCCTGGAGTCACGGAGAACCTCTGTTATTATTGTAACCAAAGACTCACAGACTCCGTTATCTCTTTCTGATGAGGAAATAGCGCAAGGCATGGAAATAGAGGAAAAGATAGTGAGCTATCTTCAGAGCCAGCATACTGCATTTATAGAGAAGAAAGGCTGAGGACCAGCTCTGAATGAAACAAGTGAAATTGTCCTAGAGAGGGAGTGGAACTGGAGCGATTCTCTATCCCAGGTAAATAAAACAATCCTCAGTGAAACGCTGTGGGAAAGGCTGCCGTCCAAAACCGTGTAACTTTCTACAGCTTGGTAATGGTCATTGTTGCTTGCTTTGAAAAAGAAAAATACACTGAAGTGAAAACATTCCCAAAGATGATATTTGTTCTGGTGTCTAAGGAAGGAAAGGATTGTATTGCTTTATTTCTGTCCTGTGGGCTGGGAGACCCGGGAGGTGGAGAAATGGTATATGTGTCTGTATATAAAAGATTTTCTTGAATCCGCCTCTTCAAAGTTTCTTTTCCGAATTGTTGGACGGAAGGAATGGTGCTTTGCAGATATGACTGGACTGGAGTGACAGAGCTGGCAATTGGCTGGTATTGATAGCGGACGGTGAAATGAACATGGCAAACAATGAAGGAGAAATGATGAGGAAGCAACAGCAACTTTGGAGATAAATCTGTTGCACCGGGGGAGATACAGCATGACTATGCTTCAAGAAATCTGCTCAGAAACACGGTTCAAACAATAGGTACTGCAGCAGTGTCCCTCAAGCAGCTGTTTCGCAAAGGTTTTCCTTCCATTGGAGGTGTTAGCAGGCTGCTGGAGGGGGATAAAGGCAAGGAGACATCGTGGCACAGAGCACAGGCAGTGGCCTCTGAGCGTGGCGTGGGGACAAGAGGTTGGAGGGGGAGTAGGCGGTGAGGGTGGGGAGGTGAAAGCGGATGGATTGGCAGTGATCAGCTCTGGGAGGAGACCTGCCTCTTCGCTGTCTGGATGGAATTAAAATGGGAGCCAGTTAGAACCAAGACATTCCTGGTTTTCTCTACATCTAAAGGATTACCAACTTGTTCGTGTCTATTCCTCACGCTTACAAGAAGCAAAGTGTGCAATTCTGTGGTTAAAAAAAACTTAACTGCAGCTCTACTCTTGTCCATCATGTGTCTGTTTCCTTGCAATAAATTCACTGGAAGTCTGTAAAGACAGACAGTAATGCAGTTCTGCACTTCAAGCCTCTCCGGAGGTGAGACCATGCTCTGTTTAAAACCACCGAGCGCTCAAGAAGGCAACAGTGCTTTTTGTAATGATGCTGATCACCTGGAAATGAGGTGTGCTTATAAAAAGAGGGGAAGAAACCCAGAAGAGCAAGAAAAGAGCGCGGGGATGGGCTTGGTGGATCAGCAGGGAGCATTGAACGCTAAAGGGCTGGTACGGTGTGTGTGGAGGATATGTTTAGTGATGGGAGAAGCAGTCCAGATTAGTCAGGAATGCTGAGATCCAGCTGGTAGCTGAGTCAGGAGAGGGAATGTAACAATTTCTACGTGGCTGGGACTGATAAATATCAGCAGAAGGTGGAGACAGTACTGAAGTGGAGACTGTCTGCAGATGTGGGATGTGCCTGTTGGAGACATGCAGATAGGGAAGGAGAAGATGGTGGAACGTCCTGCACATGTGTTGTGTGCGCTCATCAGCTGCAAGAGCTGCCAGTCTTCATCATCCAGTAGGTGATCGATGTGAACGTCGAGTCCTGCTGGTTTAGGGGTTTCATGTTCCCTTTATTTGGAGTCTTGCAGTTAGAAGCAGGGGTGGGCTGGTGGAGATGAGAATATAAAAACTTGTGTAAATTGAACGTGCCCTCACAGGGCTGTTAGAATAAGGGGTGGGAGAAGTGCAACAAATGCTGTCTTTGGAGTGTTCTGGTCTTTCTCTGGAAGGTGACTGTGAAGGAGAGAAGAATAATCTCAATTTTTTGAGGAGAAAACTCTGGCATTGCCTGTCTCGGACCTTGCAGGAGTTCCTGTGCGACTTGAGAACGCAGCCATGGGCTTCCCTGTGTGATGTCTGCTTCAGCAGGGTGGTGAAGCCCAGGTTTGGGAGACTTCCAAAACTCAACCTGAGCCACAGCCATCCCGATCCAGTGTTGGTGATGGTCCTGTTCCCAGTGGGAGGTTGAACGAAGACCTTGAGAACGCCTGTCCCACCACCGCCTCTAGCGCTGGCAGCGCTGGGCACCAGCCCTTCTCTTTCGGGAGTGCTGGTTGTGGTACCGTGAGTGGGAAGTGGCTCCTGCAGGTCCAGGACCACCTGTACGTCGCTTTCTGAGGGTCCCAGGCTTTGCTCAGCCAAAGGTCCCCGCTGTGCGCTGCAGCATCCCCCTTGTCCATGGTTTGGTCTCCTCCTTTCTCTGCCCATGCCTTCAGCTGGTGGGTCAGCTCTGCAGGACAAGCCCTACTTTACCTTGCAGTTTCACCGCCTGGGCTTCACGTACGTCCATGGTCCGCCTGGGGGGAAGCCCTTCACCTCCGGCAGCTTCACCCGGGCTTTAGAAGAAAATCGGGAAAAGCCTTCGGCCCGTTTTGCTTGGCGTTGGCAGGAAACGGGGGGGTTCGGCAGATCCGTCGGTTGTGCAGTGGCCTTGAGGCACAGGTAAAGGCACGGAAGCCCCCAAGGCCACCGGTTTTATGGCCGGGAGAGGGACATTCTCCTTCCTCTGTCACCTGAGGGAGGGGAGGGGAGGGG